CAAGATCATATTAATTATAATAAAAAATCAGCTAACCCCGAGAAGCCCCGATTTACCTTTTCCTCCCTTTCTTCCCTTAGCTATTATTTTTCTGCTATTTTCTTGAATTTCTATGTTTTTTTTTCCAGTAATTTTTTTTTTTATTTGCTTCGGTTTTTTTTTCCAGTGTTGTATTAAAAAAAAGCATTAAAAAAAATATACAGAAAATAAAATAAAAATGAAAGGCAATAGCCATGCGTTTTATTTTCTGGTTTCGTTGTGCGTATTGCGTTCACATTGCGCGGCGTTCGGGTGTTCGAGTCTCTGATGCGTTTGGTATGTTTCAGTCTGCGGCGGACAAGCCGAAGCCAAGAGCAGCAAAGAGTCCCAAGGGCAAGAAGTCCAGTGCCAAAGGTTCAGCCAAAGGAAAAGGCAAGAAAGTCCCCGAGGCTCCGCCCCCTGCGAAGACAGACACCGCCCTGAAACGGCGCGGGGAGGAAGAGGACGCCAACGCTTATATAGGTGATAAATGCTTCTCTATGGGAAACGAGACTCCGCCCACAGGACGTAAAACACTAATTGTGGAAGTCCAGGGTTTTATCACCCTGACCCCCGATAATCATCACCCTGACCCCCAATAATCATCACCCTGACCCCCAATAATCATCACCCTGACCCCCAATAATCATCACCCTGACCCCCAATAATCATCACCCTGACCCCCAATAATCATCACCCTGACCCCAAATATTGATCACCAAGACCCCAATAATGATCACCCTGACCCCCAATATTGATCACCATGATTGCAATAATGATCACCCTGACCCTAATAATGATCACCCTGACCCCCAATAATGATCACCCTGACCCCAATAATGATCACCCTGACCCCCAATAATAATCTCCCTGACCCCCAATAATAATCACCATGATTGCAATAATAATCAACCTGACCCCCAATAATAATCACCATGATTGCAATAATAATCAACCTGACCCCAGTAATGATCATCCTGACCACTATAATGTCGGGGTGACCTGATGATATCGGGTGATATGATATCGGGGTGACCTGATGATATCGGGTGATATGATATCGGGGTGATCTGATGATATCGGGGTGATATGATATCCGGGTGACCTGATGATATTGGGGTGATCTGATCATATGGTGGTGACCTGATGATATCGGGGTGACCTGATGATATCGGGTGATATGATATCGGGGTGACCTGATGATATCGGGGTGATCTGATATCGGGGTGACCTTATGATATTGGGGTGATATGATATCGGGGTGATCTGATGATATCGGGGTGATCTGATATCCGGGTGACCTGATGTTATTGGGGTGATCTGATGATATCGGGGTGACCTGATGTTATCGGGGTGATCTGATTATATTGGGTTGATCTGATATCGGGGTGATCTGATTATATTGGGTTGATCTGATATCGGGGTGATCTGGTTATATTGGCAAATCCGGGTGACCTGATGTTATTGGGGTGATCTGATGATATCGGGGTGACCTGATGTTATCGGGGTGATCTGATTATATTGGGTTGATCTGATATCGGGGTGATCTGATTATATTGGGTTGATCTGATATCGGGGTGATCTGATTATATTGGGTTGATCTGATATCGGGGTGATCTGTTAATATCGGGGTGATCTGATGTTATTGGGGTGATCTGATGATATCGGGGTGATCTGATGATATCGGGGTGATCCTCTGGTTTGAATTCTCTGTGTCACAGACCTGGAACCAGGATGCGGATCAGAACAATGTCTCCGCGTTCTTGCTCCGGGTCACTCACTCGTCCTCAGCACGTTCTGTGAGCGGCGGTTTTGCGCTCGGCGGGCGCCGAGGTCGTTGTATGACGCTCACAGTGCCGTCATGTTGGTGTTTTTGCAGATGACGAGCCGGATGACGGCCCCCAGCACTATATCATCGTCCTCGGAGTCTACCACCCGCAGATTCCCCTCCTGCTGGCCGATCTCGGCGTCAATGTGTCCAGCGTGATCAGGATATCATCGCAGAACTACACGAGCCTGCCGGGCAATCCGGCAAAGGGGGAGGAGCAACCAGAAGGTAGGGTGTGGTTATAAAGTCCGCTCGCCATGTTACTGAGTTCAGTTCATTTCTGTCCTATAAGATTCCGTACAAACTTCCTTTTATTACTGCAGCCGTAGAGGCCGAGACGCGGAGGAAAATGGCCGTCACCAAGTCCCTGGAAGTCTTCTGGAAGTACCTGGAACCGGTCCTGGAAAGCCGGAAGAACCGATCACCGTTATGTCAGATTGCTCAACTGCAACACCTGGTGAAGGAGAACGTCCATCCCACAGACTGGAGCCATGCTGAGCAGCAGGTGAGTGACGTCTATACTGAGATCATACCGACACCATACTGACACCATACTGACATCATACCGACACCATACTGACACCATACTGACATCATACCGACACCATACTGAGATCATACCGACACCCTACTGACATCATACCGAGACCATACCGACACCATACCGACACCATACTGAGATCATACCGACACCATACTGACATCATACCGAGATCATACCGACACCATACTGACACCATACTGAGATCATACCGACACCATACCGACACCATACTGAGATCATACCGACACCATACCGACACCATACTGAGATCATACCGACACCCTACTGACATCATACCGAGACCATACCGACACCATACCGACACCATACTGAGATCATACCGACACCATACTGAGATCATACCGACACCATACTGACATCATACCGACACCATACTGACATCATACCGACACCATACTGACATCATACCGACACCATACTGAGACCATACCGACACCATACTGACATCATACCGACACAATACTGAGACCATACCGACATCATACTGAGATCATACCGACACAATACTGAGACCATACCGACATCATACTGACATCATACCGACACCATACTGAGACCATACCGACACCATACTGAGACCATACCGACACCATACTGAGACCATACCGACACCATACTGAGATCATACCGACATCATACCGACACCATACCGAGATCATACCGACACCATACTGAGATCATACCGACACCATACTGACATCATACCGACACAATACTGAGACCATACCGACATCATACTGACATCATACCGACACCATACTGAGACCATACCGACACCATACTGAGACCATACCGACATCATACCGACACCATACCGAGATCATACCGACACCATACTGAGATCATACCGACATCACTGAGATCATACCGACACCATACCGAGATCATACCGACACCATACTGAGATCATACCGACATCACTGAGATCATACCGACACCATACCGAGATCATACCGACACCATACTGAGATCATACCGACATCACTGAGATCATACCGACACCATACCGAGATCATACCGACACCATACTGAGATCATACCGACATCACTGAGATCATACCGACACCATACCGAGATCATACCGACACCATACTGAGATCATACCGACATCACTGAGATCATACCGACACCATACCGAGATCATACCGACACCATACTGAGATCATACCGACATCACTGAGATCATACCGACACCATACCGAGATCATACCGACACCATACTGAGATCATACCGACATCACTGAGATCATACCGACACCATACCGAGATCATACCGACACCATACTGAGATCATACCGACATCACTGAGATCATACCGACACCATACCGAGATCATACCGACACCATACTGAGATCATACCGACATCACTGAGATCATACCGACACCATACCGAGATCATACCGACACCATACTGAGATCATACCGACATCATACCGACACCATACCGAGATCATACCGACACCATACCGACACCATACTGACATCATACCGACACAATACTGAAACCATACCGACATCATACTGAGATCATACCGACATCATACTGAGGTCATACCGACACCATACCGACACCATACCGAGATCATACCGACACCATACCGACACCGTACTGACACCATACCGACACCATACCGACACCATACCGACACCATACTGACATCATACGAGATCATACCGACACCATACTGAGATCATACCGACACCATACTGACATCATACTGACACCATACTGAGATCATACCGACACCATACTGAGATCATACCGACATCATACTGACACCATACTGAGATCATACCGACACCATACTGACATCATACCGACATCATACTGACATCATACCGACACCATACTGACATCATACCGACATCATACTGACATCATACCGACACCATACTGACATCATACCGACACCATACTGAGATCATACCGACACCATACTGACATCATACCGACACCATACTGAGATCATACCGACACCATACTGAGATCATTCCGACACCATACTGACACCATACTGAGATTGTACCGACACCATACTGAGATTGTACCGACACCATACTGAGATTGTACCGACACCATACTGAGATTGTACCGACACCTTACTGACATCATACCGACACCATACCAACACCATACTGACATCATACGAGATCATACTGAGATCATACCGACACCATACTGACATCATACCGACACCATACCGACACCATACTGACATCATACCGACACCATACTGACATCATACCGACACCATACTGACATCATACTGACACCATACCGACATCATACTGACACCATACCGACATCATACTGACATCATACTGACATCATACCAACACCATACTGTGATCATACCGACACCATACCGACACCATACCGACACCATACTGAGATCATACCGACACCATACTGAGATCATACTGACACCATACCAACATCATACTGAGATCATACCGACACCATACCGTCATCATACCGACACCATACTGACATCATACCGACGCCATACTTACACCATACCGAGATCATACTGAGATCATACCGACACCATACTGAGATCATACCGACACCATACTGAGATCATACTGACACCATACCAACACCATACTGAGATCATACCGACACCATACCGTCATCATACCGACACCATACTGACATCATACCGACGCCATACTTACACCATACCGAGATCATACTGAGATCATACCGACACCATACTGAGATCATACTGACACCATACTGACACCATACTGAGATCATACCGACACCATACTGAGATCATACTGACACCATACTGACACCATACTGAGATCATACCGACACCATACTGAGATCATACTGACACCATACTGACACCATACTGAGATCATACCGACACCATACTGAGATCATACTGACACCATACTGACACCATACTGAGATCATACCGACACCATACTGAGATCATACTGACACCATACTGACACCATACTGAGATCATACCGACACCATACTGAGATCATACTGACACCATACTGACACCATACTGAGATCATACCGACACCATACTGAGATCATACTGACACCATACTGACACCATACTGAGATCATACCGACACCATACTGAGATCATACTGACACCATACTGACACCATACTGAGATCATACCGACACCATACTGAGATCATACTGACACCATACTGACACCATACTGAGATCATACCGACACCATACTGAGACCATACCGACACCATACTGAGATTGTACCGACACCATACTGACATCGTACCGACACCATACTGAGATCATACCGACACCATACTGGGATCATACTGACACCATACTGACACCATACTGTCATCATACCGACACCATACTGACACCATACTGACATCATACCGACACCATACTGAGATCATACCAACATCATACTGAGATCATACCAACATCATACTGAGATCATACCGACACCATACTGACACCATACTGAGATCATACTGACACCATACTGAGATCATACCGACACCATACTGACACCATACTGACACCATACCGACACCATACTGAGATCATACTGACACCATACTGAGATCATACCGACATCATACTGACACCATACTGACACCATACTGACACCATACTGACACCATACTGACATCATACTGACACAGCACTGACTCTGACACATCTTACCTTACATCTCCCTTCTTTCTTTCTCTCTTCCACTCCCCTTAGCCTGATGCTTCCTCTCTCCCTGACTTCCTTCCTTTTTTTCTCCTTGCCTCTCTCCTCCCTTCTTCCTTCCTTAATCCTTTCCTCCCTCCTTTCCACCCGTCCCTCTTCTTTTCTCTGCCCTCTCCCTCCTCTGATCTTACTTATTTTCTACCTTCCCACCCTTCCCCCCTCTTCACTCTCTCCCTGCCCTTCCTTCATCTTACCTCCCTCGCTCCCTTCCCTTCCTCCGTTCCTTCCCCCCTTATCTCTCACCTTTCCTTCCTCCCTTTTCTTCCTTCCTCTCTCTTCCAATCCTCTTTCCCTTACCTCCCTCTCTTTCTTTCCTCCCACTTCCACCCCTCCCTTCCCTTCCTCCCTTACCCCAGAATCACCCTCATTATCCCGCTCATTCCTTGTAGCTGGAATACTCCACAGAGGTGTTTGAGAGCGTGGCCTGCCTGATGTACGATTGCTTGGACTGGAGGAGACAACACCGGCACTACCTGGATAACATGCAGATCATCCACGTCCCGGCCGTGGGCAAGGAAGGGTCCGCCCAGAGACCGCCCTCAGCGTCAGAGGTGAGTCATGTGACATCCTCATGTGTCACCACCCCGCCCACCACTGGCAGGATCTCTGTCATCAGTACTCAGTGACACAGAGCTGTGACAAATCACTTTTCATTGTTTCCCGGGGCTTTTATTTGGAACAATGTTTCCGTAAATTCCGCGCTCAGACAAAATAAAAAAATAGGGTTTTATATGTTTTTTTATTTTTTATTGAAATTGTGTAATGTCTCCTTTAAGAACAGCTGTCATTAAGGTGACATTGTTTACAAACAAAACCATGTGATCACCATGTCATAGCTGACAAAGGCGATCACATGATCAGAGAGCACACTGATTGGTTCCTGATTGTCAGTGGAGATCGGGAGCTGCTGCTGTTCCACTATGCAGATTGTGATGGTATTACATCACATTTAACCTGAAAAGAACGTTCGTTGTTGCCTCTATTGCCATGTTCACACAGATTTGCAGGGCGAACGGTTCTGTGACTTGTTCATAAATAGACCCCCATAGGCCTCGCCCACAGTCCTGCCAGACAGTCCCTCACAATGCTAATTCACTATCTGCTGTGTTTTGTCCTGTTAGGCGCCTGCTGCAGCGATACCGCCCAGTCCCACAGGTAAGAGGAAAGGACAAGCGGACGAGGTCCACGCCACAATCCCACCGTCACCGCCAACCCCGACTCCAGGTATGTGCAGCGGCAGGGCGGACGGGGTAGAAGGGAAATGGGAAGAAACATACAGTGAAGTCAACTGGAGACACGGAGCGGTCTATAGATCCGTATTTCATATGGTGACCCGGATATTTCTTCATCCCAATGTATGAACTCATGATCCCTAATCAGACTCAACCGCTCAACACGGCTGTATCGTATTATGATGTCATCACACGGCTGTATCGTATTATGATGTCATCACACAGCTGTATCGTATTATGATGTCATCACACGGCTGTATCGTATTATGATGTCATCACATGGCTGTATCGTATTATGATGTCATCACATGGCTGCTCCTCTTTGTGTCTCTGTGTAGTGGCGGTGGAGAGCCCAATACTGACTGCAGATGTGGATATGAGATACTATAATGACCTGCTGGGTGACGCCCCTGAGGAACTCCTGACTGTGCCAGTTATAATGGACTGCATGCTGGAGCAGGTGGGACACGCACACACCTTCCTTCCTTTCCTTCCACCTCTCTAGGCTCCTCCTCCTACGTTGGACGGTGGGAACCCCTCATAATGGGCACAGCGGGTGTACAGACCCGGGAACTCAGCACAGGGATGGTGGGAGCTCCTCATAATGGGCACAGCGGGTGTACAGACCCGGGAACTCAGCACAGGGATGGTGGGAGCTCCTCATAATGGGCACATCATTTGTACACAGTGAATATGTGTTTTGGACATTAGTTATATGGAGGGCCCACAACTTGGTTCCTTTTGTGACTTTGCCCACCACCCCCCATAGCAGTAGTAGGTGTGATTGTGTTGTGGAGGGCAGGAAGTATAAAGGAAGACTGGAGGGTATCTATGGTTCTTGTTTTGTTTTTGCATTGTGTGCCGTGACATGTCAGCTCCCCGTCTTCTTATCTTAGGTCGTTGCGACAGAGAAGGACCTTGTGCCACCAAGTGAGATTATACCAGATCCTCGAGCAGACGGCCTGGACCCCGCCATCGCCAGCCACCTGGTTTCTGTCCTCGATTCTCTTTCCCTCTCGGAAAAGGAGAAGAAGGTAAAAACCCTTCATAGTGTCATCTGTACAGGCGGCAGTTTAGTGTCCTGAGCTCATGTTGTTGTGTCATCACAAGCTCATGTTGAGGCAGCGGCGTCACAAGGGGGGTGAGGCCCGCACCCGGGTGACACCATTGGAGGGGTGACCCCAAAATGACTGACAGTCATTTTGGTGTCACCCCCCTCTGAAAAGTCCATGACCGAGCACCCGACAGTGTCAGGAGAGAGGAGGGGACCCGGCGGCATAACTTATCCCACCGGGTGAGTGTCCCCTTCTCTCTCTGCCGGCGTTAGAGTTGCCACCTGGCTGGGATTCACCCGGACAGTCCGGGATTTGATTGCTGTGTTCGGGTTTCTTGGCAGCTGAAACCCGGACACATGATGTCAGGCAGACAGGGGCAACCAAAATTAGGATAGGGGCTACTGCCCCCCCCCCCCACTAAAAATTGTCTCAACTGTGATTTTTACATATGAA